GACAAAGACCTGTAGTCTACCATAAAACAACTCAATAATATGAAGGTTATTGGCCCGCCTTACTTTCTGCATATATATAATATAGGATCGCTTATGCATACAGCCCTGTCGATCAGTCTATACTTATTTTTTCAAAGCAAAAAATACAAAATTAAATATGCAGGTGAGATATTTGGTGTTGTGGATGGTGGTGATGGTGGTGATGATGGTCATATTGCCATCTTCCACCGTCACAGCAATTTCAAATATTTCTTTAGAAAACTGCCCGCAAACATGTGGGAACGTTAGCGTTCCTTACCCTTTTGGAATTGGTAGTCCTGAATGCGCCAAAAACAAAGACTTCCTGCTTAACTGCAGCCAGAGCGACCTCTTCTATGGGAACATCCTAATTTACAACATATCAATTGAAAACGGCACCATCACCGGAGGCATTTGGCGTGCCTACAATTGCGACAACGAATCTTACTTGTGGCAGCGGAATATCAGCCTCAGAATCTCGCCCTTCACCATCTCCCACACTCAAAACAAGTTGATTGGTTTAGGCTGCGACACCGTGGCCTCAATGAGCGACAACCTGGGAGGGTTTGGAAGTGGGTGCTTCGCCGTCTGCAATTACCGTGACGATATTGAAAGTGACGGTTCTTGCTCCGGTTTCGGATGTTGCCAGACTTCCATCCCCAAGCACCTCAATTCATTGAACTTTTGGGTTAGCAGCTTCTATAATCACAGATATGTTTCGGGCTTCAACCCCTGCAGTTATGCTTATGTGGTTGAAAATTCCTTCAACATCTCGACAATTAACTTCCTTGGTCACCCAAACGAAACATTAACGAGTACGCCTGCGGTGCTTGAATGGGTGGTCGGAAAGCAGCACTGCCAAGCAAGAGAAGGTCCGTCTGGGTATCGCTGCGGTTATAATGCTTAATTACTGCAACAACTCCGACACGGGTGGTGGATATCGTTGCTCGTGTAACACAGGGTTCACCGGAAATCCTTATCTCCTGAATGGATGCCAAGGTACTACTTACACAGAACTCTTATACA